GATTCTTACATGAAATAGATTAACAAATAACATAAAAAACCTAAAACGAAAAATAAAATAAACAGTTTTCAATATACAGAAATTTGGATCTGTTTGCATGCGCAGCATAAAATCTGCGAATGAAAAGGTCAAATTTTACATTCGGCTGTTGCTTTTGAATCCACTTTGTACATTTGTTTCAGATTGACACCGAAACGCAATGTAAAGTAGTAAAGCACCTCAACGAGGCTTAGGATTGAGAAGCCCATGAAGAGACCAAAGATGCCACCGCAATTGGCCAAAAAGTCGGTTACGCCGTACAGTTCGGAACGCTTCGAGGTGATGAATTGATTCTGCTTGAAGTAAATGGATAGCCTAGACATCTGAGAGCCGGGATAGTCACGCAAAAAATCGGTGTCTCCTTCGGCCGCCAGCATTTCATGCAAATCGAAGTTGGCCTGCGAAGTCTCCGCATTATAGACGAGCGAAGTGCAGGCGGGCATGCAGTTGCATGCCGTCTCCATGGGTCTGCCGTCCAATGACGCGCCTTTTGCATTCAGCTTGCGAACGCGGTGGAACTCGCGCACCAACAGCTCGCGCTCGGCCATGTGGTAGCAATGGATCTTGTTCTCGCTGCAGACCGGCATGTCCAGGCTGCGGGGCATCGAGAACTTGACACAGCCGCACTTGGCCAGCGTAAAGTTGGCCAGGCACTCTAGTTCGCAGTTGGACTCGGAGTAGACCTTGAAGAAGCGCAGCGGACGCTCGTGGCCGAGGAAGCACTGTCGCCGCTGCGGATCATACTCGGCAATGCCCTCGGACATGGTTATCATGTTTGGCTTCACGGCTATCAGCACTTCTCGACCCATGGGGATGCGGACGAACTGCTTGGACACTTGCGGCACGTCGTCCGGTGCGTGCAGTAGCACCTTGAAGCCCTGCACGGGTCCGCGGCAGGCGTAGTCCACCTCCTGCTCAAAGCTCTGCAGTGTCATAAAGATGCCCGAGCGTGCGCCAGCGCTGAGCACACGAGCTGGATATGTTTCCACGTCGCATGATGCATCGTAGCCCTTGTCCAGACTCCACTTCGACTCAGACACGTTCTCGGCGGATTGGTGATACTGGTAAGTGCCCTTCCGATAGATATCCGTGGGTCGCAGGCCATTGAATGTGTAGCAGATTCCCTCCTCGGTAAGCGTTGGCCGGAAGTACTTGTCGCACTCGTTGAAGCGGCTCAGCCAGCGGCAGTAGAAGAAGTAACGGTCGAACGGCGGCAACATGCGCTCCAGCACTTTGGGGTAGTCCAGATTGTCACCGGGAATCAGTGGCATGTCTTGCTGGATGCTGTGCGTGTTGCACACGTGGAGCATCGTACGAAACTCTTCCAATTCCTTGGACGTGACATTTGGTGGCTGGAAAACGTGTGAGTTATGCTTCTCCGCCGTATACTGACTGTAGAGATTCGCAAACGTATTGTTGCTCTGCGACTGAAGCACGCGCTTCGTCTCCGAGCAAATGGTGACGGCGGGGAAGGGTATATTCCACACGGGTGTCGATCTCTCCGCAAAGCTCACGATCACCGGCGTCTCGTTCCACTTGTTGTAGGCGCTCAGGATCAGCGTGGCACAGCAGCAGATGGACAGCAGGAATGCGAATAGCCAGAAAATACGATCTTTCTTCGGCCGCGTCTCCTCCCCGAGGTACTGCACACCGTGCAACGAGCTGTGCTGAAAGTAATCTTTGTACGTTAGCATAAAGCATTGGCAGATCGTTTTCCCAGCTGCTCGCTTCGGCGTTTTCTTAGTTTTGTTTCTTGCATTCCCGTCGAAGTCGTTGCCTTCCATGTCGCATTCGAATAAAGTTGCGGATGATTTGGCTTCAAAGCCTTTAGTCCGTACAAACATTGTTTAAACAAAAATTAACGCAACTAATCTTGCTCAACAAAACTATACACTTGTACGTACGTACATAAATTCAGGCGAATGCCGTTACGAGCCAAGTGCCGTTACTTTTAACTAACATGTGCTCTTTCCCATTATTCGTCGCTTTAGGACCAGTACGTTGATCGTAAAGACGATTTAAAGACATGGATTAAGAGAGAAAGAGAGAGAGAGAGAGAGAGAGAGAGAGAGAGAGAGAGTGAAAGCCAAAGGCGAACTTCATGTGGCTAATTCATAAATTTATATTTATTTTTCTCGTTTTGCTCAATAAATCAACGTTTTACATTGATTTAAGAGTTGGCATTTTTTGTTTATTATAATATAATCATTTCGAGTATTACACTCGAATTATACTAACGATAGCAATTAATATCTGTATAAATATTAAGCACATTTAGTTTGTAAATCTCTTGGCGGCAAAAGTAATATAAGTTTAAATTAAAAACCTTTTTTTGTTATTATTAAGTATATTTTCAACAGGCACAATAATAATACCAGCATAGGTAGCGAAAATACTAAAACAAGCTGGCCACTCTTGTTTGCATGCGGTCATACTTTTGTTTACGTTTTGTTATCTTATTTCTGTTACAGTGTTGTTACAATTGAGGGCAATGTTGTTGTAGTCTGCGCGCATATAGTGGTGGTAAGATGAAGGTCCACTGAACAGCTGATTTGCAAGCATTTAAAATTATCGATAGCAAGAACACAACGACGCAGCAGCAGCACGAACCAGCAGCGCAGCGCAGTGACTGTAGCAGCAAATATTATGCGAAACAAGAAATCTATAAAAAAGTAGAGCAGCAGCAGCAGGAGCAGCAGCCGTTGGGGCGGGGTAAGCAGCGGGAACAGTAGCATGGAACCTCCAGCGCACGTTACCGCAGCGGCGGGCATTGCAACTGGCGAAATCTCGGCGGATGCTGAGCAAGACAGCCAAGTGACAACGGCGCATAATAATGATGAGCAAGCGGATAATGGGGAAGGCGATGATGATGACGATGACGATGATGATGATGACAATGACAATGATGTCGACGATGACGATGATGATGATGCCAAGGATGCTTACTATGAGGCGCGCAATGGCAATGAAAGCGACGAACTTGAAACGGCATTCGAAAGTGCATTGACTCTGGCCAGTGACGTCAGAGTGAGCGTCAGTGACGCAGATGCCGAAATCATAGAAGAGAGCAATGGACCGAGCACGGATCAACAGCCGGACACTGAGCAAGTGCAGCAGCTGGAACAAGATGCGGGCGGCGATGTTGTGATGCGCAAAAAGCTCAACCAGAGTAAGCAAATCACTGAATCTATCTCACTTTTGGCTAAGTTCTTTGGTTTCTTTCTCTAAACAGCTCCAGAGATGAACAACGAAAACAACGATCCCCCAGTGGAAGCAGCGCCAGCCTCAACGGCTGCTACCAACGGCGAATTGGCCAGGCCACGCAACCAACACCAGGCGCTGCTCTCGACCAAATCCTGTGAGACGCCCGGCAGCGCGGCATTGGGATCGGCATCGGCAACTGCAGCGGCGCTGTCGCCCAGCAGCTCCTGCAACGGCAGCATCGGCAGCGATGGCAGCTGCAGCGTGGGCGGCGGTGCCCGTCGCAAATCCTGGACGCTCTCGCCCCAGAACGGTGTCTGCAAGAAGAAGAGCAAGCCGATTGCCATGTCCACCGCGACGACAGCGAATGGGGACAGCTTCAACTTGTGGGTGGCGCGCGAGTGCTTCGAAACGGTGCCCGCCGAGATGGTAGACACGTTGAGTGTGGCGGAGCTGCGCGAGCAGCAGAACGAAGAGTCGCTCGGGCAGGAGGAGGACGAGGATGACGACGATGTGGACGAAGAAGCAGCCGCTGTCGAGAGCCTACTAGGCGCCGCAGCAGCGCTGCAGGCCAGCGCCTACTTGGGCAGCGGAGCGCACAGCCGGCAGAAGCATTTGCGGCAGCCGCCGGCGCAGCATCGTCCGCTGGAGCGCTCGTGGCCGCCACGTGCCGTTGGGCGGGAGCTGAAGCTGCAGGGCGATGTCTTCAAGTTCGACATACTGGACACGGACGAGCGCATGCCTGGCGAGGATGTGCCCAGCTACAGTGGTGCCAGCAACTCGCCGCTGCGCCTCCTCGGCCAGCCGGAGGCCAGTCCGCCGCCGATGCGCTT